ACTTCAAGCCTCTAGCTGGGAGCCCTATGTTCCACTGGGAACGTGAAGGAATGAAATTAGTATGGATGAGACAAAATACCAAATAATAGAGTTACGGTTATGTGACTATCTGACTACTTTTCGGCTCAGTTTTCACATACTCATTCACATGCTCGTGTGGAGGTGATTACATCGAAAGTTGTAAGCATGTTCTCCGTAAACACGTAGCTGAGTCCTACCTGGTTTGGTTAGTGAAGGATGAGCAAAGGACGATGAAGTCTTCAATTTGTGAACACCTTCTGGAGTCATGTCATTCATCCCCACACGTGATTCATCCTCTAAAGTTATCTACAGGACCGAATCCAATTAATCACCTCAAAAGCTCACGTTTTCTCCACTTAAGTACAGCCAAAGCTCTAGCTAAACATGAACAGAAATTTAAATGATGTTTTCGAAAACTTTTTGTTAAACTCTTTTCTTTACCTTGGTCATTGAAATTTTCTTTTATTACATTCTATTTTATCACTATTACACCTCACTTCATATTTGCCTTCTTTACTGATATCATCACTGTACTCTTACACATTTTAGGAAACACTTGACCTACTATTTTAAAACCTTAAAACAAATTCACTTATTTTTAATGGTCTTTCAAAGTTTTGTAAGTCATCCACTTCAACTCCTCTTCACCTTTAGTACACCATTTTAATTATCTTTATTCTTATCATATGTACAACGTTGACTGAGCAATCTCTGGTGTCACTTAACGCATTATTTTTTTCGTAATATAAATACGACTATGCAGCCTCAAAACGAAGCCGTTGAGAGGAAATTCGCTGAACAAAAACTGTGTTTTTCCTTGCAGGGTGACAGCAGACATTAATTAGTCTGTTTGCCGGTCTTCATGTTAATAAAAACAAAAAGTGGACAGATATGCAAAAAATAACAATGATCTTCTTTTAAATACTGTTTCAGTGATTCATAATGCCATATAGCATGCATACTATTAGGTATACAGATAGGTTGTTATATAAGTAGACCACTTGAATGACGGCAAAAATCAGTCAGTATTGAGGGATTTCATCTTCTGAATGTTTTATTTTGGTTTTTTAATACTTTGATCAAATCATATGCAATTCTGAAGCTTTAGGAATTTTTTGTGTGTTCAGAAGGATATATATATATATATACTCAGTATGATGTGGTATAACAGACATGATTGCTACAAAATAAGCGGATTTCATCACCCGTCAGCTTCGTCAAGCAAAATATCAAGAAACTTAGATTCAAGATGACATAGGTTAATTTAGAATGTTCATTTCTTAACTTATCATCGAAGCTATACAGTTAAATACTGTTCCAAAAGATCATTGTAAGGCAGATTAATAATAATATTTGATAACAAAACATACGCAATTACGTATCAGGAGGAAAAAAATGGATAAAGTGGGAAAGTGTTTAAGAGGTCCAAGAGAGTGCAAAAACACTACCCTGCATGGTTACAAAGAGGTGGGAGTGGAGCTATAAGAAGCTCGATCATTGAACATCTGGTCGATAATGATCACCCTATCTCTACAGCCTCCGTCCTTAAAGTCATCTACAAGACGAAAAGTAATTTACCCAAATCCCTACGTACCCGACTCATCTGAACTGCTGAAGCCTTGGCTATCGAAACAGAAAAGCCAGATCTCTGTATGCAGAAACAGTACGTTCAACCCCTCCAACTTTCACGGTATTAATCCCTCTATGCTAAATTATGGTAATCCCTAATTATATTTTGGCTCTACTTGTTATTTTTCGTTTTGTTGATTCAATTTGTATACTCTTCCTTTATTACGTCAATTGTTACTATTACTATTCTCACTTTGAACTGTCCCCGGTATTATTTCACTTGTTCCACTTGTCATTCTAAATCAATTCTGTGTTTAAACGTTGAATTCTATGTTACCAAATTCCACACAGTGTTACGTAACGTTTTTATTTTTATTTTATTTGCCTACTAATCCTATAATTTCACACTCCTTCCGAGTTCTATCCATCCTATGAATTATTCTATATATGACATCAATTGTTTTGCTACTTGACATTTAACTATGATTATAATCACAAATATTTTAATTGCATTTCATACTACTATTATTATTTTATGCATTCACACCTATGATTTGATTCGCTCACCAGATATAACTTCTTAAAAAGCATATATATACGACTGTACGCGTCGGTGGCATAGCGGTTAGGACGCTCGCCGACCATGCACATGGTCCGGGGTTCGATCCCCGGCCGACGCACTCCTTTACCTCGCGAAGCCAGAAATAATGCTGGTGAAGAGGAAAGGTTTGGCATGAGGCTAGCAACCCCATCCTGTAAAAATAAACACTGCTACAGAAACTTCAAGCCACTAGCTTGAGCTATGTTCCACTGGAAGTGAAGGAAAAAAACAAAAAAAAACAAACATACGATTGTACAGCTTGATGATAAATTCGTTGAAAAGAGTCTCTTCTCTGAATCACTTGTTTCGATATTCTATAAGTAGTCTAAACACACTAATTGATGAATAGCGTTCAGAAAGTCTTAGGGTTAGGAACAAGAGATTCAGAATATGTTCAAAGAGTTTGTAAAAGAAAGAAGGAGAAAAAACAACAAATGAAGATGGATTACATACCCTATGTATGTACAGGTTGAAAATAGGCTTAAGAGATTGGACAAACAAAATCTGTATACATAGTGAAGGGATTTCCTTTTGTCCATCTATAACTGTGTTGTACTCAGCATAAAGAATAAAATCCGGATCTTCAACACTTATGTGAAATCAGTCAGTGCTTCTGTATGATTGATGAGATCTGATGAGTCACCAGAAACATTTCCAACGTCCCACTTTTATCAGCAACCGCTCCCTTCGCTTGGTGTAGAAGACCAGGTGGCCGGTAACAAAACATAAGCAGTAAGGAGTTCTGGAAATGATCCACCTAACAATGTATCATCTAACAAATATGCAGAAGGAAGTGGAGGTGGATTGGATGTACAACTGAGAAGACTACTGAGTGACATCACTCTCCAGGCAGGAGGATCTCTAGTGCACTCTGAATGGGAAGCAAGTAGATTGGTGTGAGTCCTAGACTGATATGGAGGGGATGGTTTGAGGAGTGAACTAAAGAGGAATTAAGAAACCAGAGTGGGATAAAGATGCGATGTTGAAGCTTTATATTCTATTCAGAACCCAATGGAATAATAAATACAATAATAATACTAGCAATAATTGACCTTTATTAGCATTTCCATGACATTTTAGAATAGTATTTAACTGTGCAGCTTTGAAAAGAGAAGTTTCGCAAAGAATATTCTTTGCTCACCTATGTCTTTTTAATTAATATTACATAGGGATTTTTCACACGTACAATCGTTTATTCTATTTTAGACAAGTAATCATCCACGGACCAGAATTATCAGTCCAAGATAGAATTATAGAGAGCAGTAGGAAAGATACGCTTTTGACTCTACATTAATGTAAGAGTTATAATTCAATTTTTATTGATTGGATTGAGATATTCTGCTTCTGTTGACATGTTGGCTCCTAGTGAAAACGCTTCAATGATACCCGAGGATTAACTGGAAGTAATTCGGTTAGACGGTGACTAGCAGTAGAATCCAGGATGCGTATTTTGTCCTATTTAGCACATGTCCGCTAGTGGGTTTACCTACAGTCCCCAATGAGTTATGGTGACGTTCCCACTGAGGCTCAAATCCAGTACGCATCGTTTCGAGTTCCGAAACGTTATCCACTAGACCACGAGAGCTCCCTATTGTGCAACGGATGTCCCTCTAAAAAAATTCAATTTTGATTTTCTCACAGATTGATTGAACCGAAATATGTAGACGCTGTCTGATACTTATATCGGAGTGAAACAGTTTAACATTTGTAATAATAAGAGAAATGATTCAGAATATACCCATAAATTAATAAACAACATATTTGAAGACATCAAATTCACAAGAGAAGAAGAATTAGATAACAAAATCCCATTTTTAGACGTCTTAATCAGGAGAACCAACACAGGAAATTTAGAAACACAAGTATATAGAAAATCAACGCACACACAGATCAAATACTCAACTATACTAGCAATAATTCAATTACTCACAAACGAAACTGTGTGCAGACATTGTTTAAAAGAGTTCAAACACATTGTAGCACTCCAGAGTTGAAAAGAATGGAAGAAAAATACCTACAAACGGTCTTCAAAAAGAATGGTTATCCACAAAATTTCATCAAAAAGTGTTTAAAGTCGAATCAAAACACCAACAAGAAACCATCATCAAAGACCACAAGAAAATTCATTCTACCATACATGAGGAATATCTCTGAAATAACAGCTAGAATACTGAAACCGTTAGATATAGATATAGCACACAAACCAGTAAAATCGCTTAATTCGATATTATGCAAACCGAAAGATCCAACAGAAAAAGGAGATAAAATTAATACCATTTAAAAATAAATTGTATGGACTGCAACAAGCATTACATCGGCCAAAGTGGGCGTCCCCTTCGAATCAGAATCCAAGAACACAAATCAGCCGTGAAAAGACACGATATATATTCTTTAGTATCAATGCATATAGACAATTATGGACATCAATTTGATTGGGATAATGTCGAGATCTTAGACAGAGGAAACACCAAAAGTGCCAGGGAATTCCTAGAAGCCTGGTACTCAAACGAAAATGCATTACAAACACGAAATCTACCAACTAATAAAAAGTAAATCAGTGACCAGAAAGTTTAAAATCCAAGTCAATAGAAAATGGTCAATACATATGTAAAGATGGTTACCGGGAGACGCAATTATATCACTCATGAAGAAATTTAAATCATTTCACTTTATGCTAAATATTGCGCTGAAGATGTTGTCCAGAAGGACGACGAAAGCTCCGCAACTAAACCCAACAGCTCAGAGAACACTATTAATTACAGTTTAACATGATCTTCAGAAGTCCTCCAGTTAGAATCAAAATGCCTTATTAAACCATTAAAATTGCTTCATTTGACACAAAACTTACCTGCCATAGGGTTAAATTATCCATTAATGAAAATGTTTGATCTTCTAATTCTTTTTGTCTAGGTATGGCTGAATGTGATATTGTTAAGAATTTAGAAGGTTTATGCTTAGTTTGATTGACTATTTTTGGAAATTTTAAGACATTCGAATGATTTTTTACATCAGTAATATCTGGAAGTTTCAGAAGACGGTTATTATTACCATTCTCCTTGGCAGTATTACATTTCACCAACGGTGAAGAAGAATATCCGCTTGACAGCTTCTGTTGATTGAATACAGTGTTCATCCTATTTGTATTTGAGTAGTTATACTGTTCAACTAGTGAATTTGATAATGATGATGCTACACCGGATGATGACAACAACGACGGTTGACACTTTTTATAATATTTTTCAGATAGTTTATATTCCTTTCTACCCTTCAGTACATCAGTTATTTTCACTGGATTTTCTATATAAGCTCTACGATTAGGATTCCATCGGTTCGGCTTATAAATATCATTAGTTGTTTTCATTGGAGTTTTAATTACAGCTAATTTTGGTCTTTTAATTTTTTCACCCATTTCTTTTTCTGATGCTGCCTGTATTAGATTATTTTGTATTTTTAGCAATATTGGCAGTGTATACTGATAATGTGGTAGATAACTGACAACATGATGAAAGTATTTCTCATCGTTAGCAAATTGTTCATAGAGTGTTTCAGGTTTTCTTGTTAGGTGATCGAATTGACGATGACATAATAAACTGGAATAAAGATTAAAACAAGGAGAAGAAGAAAAAAATGATGATTAGTAGAGTAGTAGTAACGACAGAAGACAAGGGTCAGGCAACAGATCGTTTATTGAGAAAATCAACAGATATTTATAGATTTTGATGTACATTATTATTAGTGTTATTGTTAGCAGAGAAGCAAGGTCTTCTGATCGGTTGTTTTCTTGTTGAAGGTTATTCTTCAGTAGTACGCACCCACCGGGATTCGAACCCAGGACCTTCCGGTTACAAGGCTCATGATGAAATTCTCCATGCAATCAAACAAAATCCCTAAAAAACCAACTCTTGAAAATTATTCTGATGCTCACTAGTGACTGGCCCTATTCAGGCAGTTAACCTGGGGTTCTAGTGAGAAACCGTGATCAGTAGGGTACAGCAGGTTGAAGATGAGGCAGTAATCCACCGAAGAAGACATTGCGAAATGGTCCCGCTATGTCATGAATTGGCAGAAGTTAGAATCCAAGGACCATTGGATCGGGTCCCAGTGGCTCAATGGTGTACGAGCACGCCTTGTAACCAGAAGATCCTGGGTTCGAATCCCGGTGGGTGCGTACTGATGAAGAGTCCCAAACTAGGACGAAACAGCTGTCCAGTACCCCCAGGTTTTCCAGTGGTTCTCTAACTGATGTGAGATCATGATGAAATCCTCCATGCAGTCAAACAAAATCCCTACAAAACCAATACTTGAAAGTTATTTTACCATCTCTTTTTGGCCGTTTCTTAGAAAGTTAAGCCATATATCTGCCAATAGTATTTGCACACGTTAGGTCTACTGTGACTGGTTGGTGATTTCCTCAAGGTTAAGCTTTGTTATTGTTTTTCTCATGCCCCTGATTCGGGACGTGAACATTGACGTCAACTGTTGTCTGCAGTTTCGGCTTGCAGACAGCTCTTATCACAGTATTAGTAGTAGCAATACACATCAATCTTATCCTAGTGGCTGAACAGTCGACAAGCTCATTTTGTTAAATGAAGGTCCTGGAGTCATAGGGGAGTAAAGTTAGTGATCCGAAGGTGGAATGCTCTGAAGCCATGAGGAAGGTCTACGTTCGATTTTGAGGTTATTTATTATTATTGTTGTTCCCTTGGGTTCGAAGTGGAACACAGGACTTCAGCAGTACATCTCGACACTGTCCTGTTCTCTGATGTACTCTTCATATTTTTCCAAAACTGTCCATAATTCCTCGTGTACTCCTCATACAATCTCCTCCATGTCACCTTCAGGCATACGCCCAACTCGTCCCTTTCCATTCGGGTTCCACTTGAGAGATGGCCTGCATTACGCGCGATGTTACTCGACAGTCTCCTCAGAGTGTGTTTATTGAGCAGTAGTCTGTTGTTTGGTCCATTCCCAGAGTCTCTTGTAGCTAATTCTTTCCAGCTGGCTATCTGATTTTTAATATGGAGCTAGTGAGGCGACTGTTATAAAGTCTCCAGTGACCTTTTCGAAATGCTTTTCGTGACACGTAGGACAATTTTCTGACCCATATAGAAGGACTGAATGACTTAATACTTGTGTTGAAAATCTGAATTTCGTTGTTTATGCTGACTGCGGAATAATTCCAGACTTAGGTGGCGTACTCCTAAATCTTTCCTACCTGGTAGTAAGTTCAGAAAAGATGGGAGGTTAGCTGTGATGTTGGCAACACCACTCCTGCTGTAACTTCTGATCTTGAAGGTATATGCTCCACTTAGAAGACAAAGAAAAAGTACGTCAGTTTCGATAGAAATGGTGAATTTTGTTCTTATTTTGATTTTTGAAGTATAAAAGATGATTTTCAGAATGTGTTATGTTCACCTCAGATTTATTGCTTGTTGAGAGGTTTTATTATAGCGTATGGAAAAGTTGAAGCACACATATGTTTCAGGATAGAGAAAATCTCCATTTAGACATTTAGAAGACAAAAGGATTGCGTGAAGAAATACCTACTCTTCAATGAGATTCTCATCTCTAGCTCTAGTCTAATATGTTAAAATTGCTATATATATATTGATGAAGAGTCCCAAACTAGGACGAAACAGTTGTTCAGTACTAGCAGAGTTTCCAATGGTTTTCTAACCGATGACAGCTCACGATCAAATCCTCCAACCAATCAAAAACAAAATCCCTACAGACCAATAGTTGAATATGTATATATATATATGAGATGAGGATCTCATTGAAAAGTAAATATTGCTTCGCTGAATCCTTTTGTCTTCCAAACTAATGTTTACTATGAGTTTCAAATAATAAAATTTAAATAAAGCAAGAACAACAGTGGTTTGTGCAGAATAATATGGTACCATCATTTATTTCGTTGGCTTCTCATCATCTGCTTGCAGCCTAAATAAATTTATTTATTTTTAATTTTTATTTTGGTTACAGTTTGATACCACACCGTATTTCCAGTACAAGTATGGAATTTTCAGCATGGATATCGGTAGCCCAAATTTTGCAGGCCGACCATGTGCATGGTCGGCGAGAGTCCTAACCACTGTGCCACCGACGCACAGTTTACGTACAGAAAAGTTTTACATGTTGTCAGTTGACAGAAAGTTCCACATTTAGTGAAAAGTGCTCAGAAAATTGTGCTTATATAGTTTTTTCACAGGCAGTTCAAGTTAAAATAAATGTATGCATACAATGGTAAAGGAGTTACGTAATAAAGACGAGAGGTGATTAAGATGATGAGTAACTAATAAATTTGGTAACGATGTACTGAGTTCAAATCACGTCATAGAAACAAGAGACAAGCAATATTACAGATTATAAAAGAGAGCGGTGTGGTTAAAGACAAAGATTACGTAATCAGAGTGGAGAATAAAGACATCCAGTTACCATGGCAAGGAAAGACTAATGACTGCTTCTTTCTGAACACATAAATCTCGTTTGAAGTATCTGATAGAAATTGCTTCGGCAAACTTGAGAAGAATGGAGCTCCTTTGTCTATTGATAATTTTAAAGGATTTCTCGATTTCCACCTCATGACCCGTGTCGAGAAGATGTCTGGCGATGGCACTGTTTAAAGCATTTGTTCGTTTTAGACATAAGCTTTTTGGTACATGTTCAGAAAATCGTAGATATGCCCTTCTTTCTGTCCTTCCAATGTAACTGAAGAATTGAAGACATATCAGTTAGATTATATATTCGGAAACTCATTCACTATCTAACTAAACTGTATACATGAATTAGTTATCATACAGTAAACAAAGTTGTGACTAAAATTTTACGATCATTTTCGTAATGTAGTCATTTAACTGAGTGAAGAAGAACATTGATGTGACGTGTGCTACTAACATGAATTTGTAAGAAATATATCTCGGCGATGTCTTCTGAAAGAATCTTGTATAGGAGAGAGAGAATAATTAAAAAAATGTCTTAGAGAAGAAATGTGAAGAATACAAAAGGATCAGAATAAGCATAACTTTTTCAAGTTAAAGTTTTAATTTACAAGTGTTGGTTTGTAGGGATTTGATTGAGTTCAAGATTGATGACGAAAACCACTGAAAAGCACCAGGGAGTAATGGACACTGCTTTCCTCATTGCTTGACACTCCTCATCAATACGCGCTTGTGACCCAGCCGTTAAGGATTGATCTCTAAACCGATGATATGCCTAATTGTGGTGGACTGGATTATGCGTCAGACTGTGAGTGGGAGCGAGGAGACAGGAGTACGCTGGACCACCGGTAACGAAGACTCTAGAAGATTTGGATTTCACAGATGATATATGTCTAATGTCGCACAAACTCGAAGACTTTCAGGCAAAAACCAACTAAACGGCTGAAGAAACAGGCAGCGAAGACAGGACTCTAGGTGAACATGGAGAAGACGGAGGTGATGAAGATAACCAACCAACCAGCAACAAAAACAACCAGTACCAATCACCATCAACGGGAGAGATTTAACAGAGGTTACTTCCTTCACTTATCTAGGAAGCAACGTTTCAACCACAGGTAGTGGGAACGGATGAAAATGTCAAAGTTAGAATCAGAAATGCAAGATGCGCACCCGTTCATCAACCTGAAACCAGTTTGGAAATCTTCTGCACTTCGCCTCAGCATAAGTAACAAGATTCGGATTTTCAACACAAATGTCAAGTCAGTTAGTACTTCTATATGGGTCAGAAACTTGCACTGCGCGTCACGAAAAGCATTTCCAACAGGCTACTGCAAACTTTTATCAAAGGCTCCATACTGAATATCAAATGGCCGGCCAGAAAGGATTAGAAACAAGAAACTCTTAGAACGAACCAACCAAGAACTAAATATTACGTCGAAGAAATGGAGACAATGGATTGGGCTCAGGTTGAGGAGACCGTAGGATGATGTCGCTCACCATGTCATCGTTGGAGTAGAACCCGAACAGGAAACGATGAGTTCGGCATATGTCCGAGGGTGACATGGAGGAGATCGTGCTTGGGTGGGGAATGAAAACTTATTGGAAATCATGTGGGTCGATGAAGAAGACGGAGGAGAATATGACAACATGGAGAGAGGTTCTATTGAAGCCCTCCCTGTGTTCCACTCGGAACGCAAGGGAATAACAATGAATAATAAATATATATATGCAACATAGTTTTAGAAAACTCAAACTTAACAGAATGGAAAATAAATAAATAAATAATTCAATAAATAACACAATATATATATTTTTTCTTACTGTATTGGTGCTCTTTTAAGAGCACGTGATTTTTGTAGATTTTCTACATTCGCTAATAGATTAGTAGGTACATTTTTCATGGCATCTCCTAAATCGCTAAATGATTCTGATGCATAAGCCTGATAATAGGGAGTTTGTTGTGATGAAGACGGTTGACTGACTGGTTTTCTAAATCTTGATTCTGTAGGCTTGAGTATTTAAAACAAAAAATAAACAATAGCAAAGAAATTGAATTGAATTTTCGATTTTCCCGTCGATTGACTGGACCGAAGTGCTCGGTCTCAGGTTGACATGTCGGCTTCTTGTGCAGATGCTTCGACGATGTCTGGGTATTTAATTAGAATTTAATTTGTGGATGGTGACTAGCAACAGAATCCAGGATGCACATGTATTGCCTCCAGTGTATAGTTTTTCCCACTGAGGCTCAAATCCGGTACCCATAGTTTTAAACGGCAGACATCATCAAAGCATCTGCACAAGGAGCTGACACATCAACCTTAGGCCGACACTTCTCAATCAATCAACTGGATTGAATTAAACAAGTACTAATGTGGTGAGAGCTTTTGCAGAATAAAAGTGCTACCATCATTGTTTATTTCGTTGGCTTCTCATCAGCTAGCTGCTTACAGCCCAAAGACATGCTTGCACAGAGTTCATTTTTTCAACAAATACCAATCAATTTTTCAAGTATTGGTTTGTAGAGATTATATGACTGATTGGTTACAGGATTTCATCATGAGCTGATATCGGTTAGTGAAACATTGGAAAACTTGCCAAGGAGTATTAGACAGCTGTTTCGTCAGCCGTAGTTTCGGAATTCTCAGTGTGGTGAGAGCTGTCTACTAGCCAAATTGGTAGACGTAATTTGCGTCAATGTTTACGTTCCCAAGATTTGTCGTGAGAAAATGTGAACAAAGATTGATTCAAAACCGACCACAGCAGACTTTGCGTAGGCGGATGCAGTTAACATATAGAGGATTTGACATTCAAGAAACAGTCACAAATAGATGAAAGATTAACTTTACGTGAGAAACAACCAATCGGAAAACTGTGTTTGTTTGCTTAAATATCCATAGTAATGTACATGAAAATATATAAATATGCGTTGATTTCCTTAATATATGATCTGTTGCCTGACTCTTGCCTTCTGTCGTTACATCAGCAGTACGCACCCACCGGAGTTCGAACCCATGACCTTCTGGTTACAAGGCGAGCTCGTAGACCACTAAGCCACTCACTGAGACCCGATCCAATGGCCATGTATGAATTCTCACTTCTGTCATCGACGACATAGCGCGACCACTTAGCAGTGTCTTCTTCGATGAGTAAGTGTCCTTACCTTCGACTCGCTGTACCCTATTGGACACAATGGAAACTTCTGGTTTTACGTAATTAGATGAAAGAAAGGATAAAAACTTCCACTTACGAGGACAGGGAAAGACTGATAACTGCTTGTTTCTCAACGTATTAACAAGTCCAGCAGATATGAAGTCTCAAATGTCAAACAAATTACAGTGGAAAAAAGTCCATCTTCAGTCAACTTGATTTTAAAGGTGAAAATATTACAGCAGTGGTCAACAGAAGATTGAGGACGTCACTAGTCAGAGTCTATACTGCAGCTAAGCTGGTTCCCGTCTATCGAACAACTTTCTCTTCGGTGCAATCAAAAGTCGACAGATATCCTTCTCATGTTAACTCCAACTGTATATACAAATTTACATGTATCTGCGGGAGCAGTTACATTGGAAGAACACAAAGAAGGGCATACCTTCGATTTTCCGAACATTACCAAACGCCTATGTCTAAAGTGAACAAATGCTTTTGACAGTGCCATCACCAAGCATCTCCTTGACACGGGTCACAAGATCGTTCGAAATTATCACTAGGCAGAAGAGTTCAATTCTCCTTAAGTTTGCCGAGGCAATCTCCATCAAGCGCCTGAAACCCGATTTATGAGTTCAGAAAAGAGCGGTTATCAGTCTTTCCTGACCCTGGTAACCGGATATTTACATCCTCTCTTTCATCTGATTACGTAATGTAGAAAGTTTCCATTGTGTATGATCATTATTATTTGGGATGGAGTGATTATTATTATATTATTATTACCGTTCTAGGCAAGTATGTTAAAATTGTTTCTGTAGATAAACTTACTAATGTCTTTGGGCTGTAAGCAATGATGAGAAGCCAACGAAATAAATGATGGTACCATTTTATTCTGCAAAACTGTTGTTCTTGCTCTATTCAAATTCATTAAGGGGAATATATGCATGAAATTTCTCTTTTTAACTGATAAGTTTAATGGTAGTAAAAGCAAGCACTAGATGATGTTGCTCATTAGAAGTCAGGGGGGAGGTGCTTTTAATGCATTTAGGTATTTCCATACATCACTTTTGACATTCTTACGAAATAACAATGGAGATCAATAAACCAAAGATGGGAAATAATAGCACATCTACTCTAATATCAAAACAAAGTTTACCAAAGAAGGTTTAATGTGATGACGAATTGTTTTTGAACGCATAAAGGTGGTTTAAACATCCTAATCGCTAGCTAGGGCTTACAAAACTTTAGGATACGCTCCAAACACATTGTATAGATAGGTTTAAAAGACGTGTAAACATCTATTTTGTCCTATCTCTGAAATATTTTTTGCAATAGAAGAACTAGGTCGTCTTTTTTCACCATTAAGGAGTTCAGGGGATTTAGTTTGCTCGTGAAGTCACTTGGAGATATGCTGTGAAGCTCTTACTTGCAAAGATGGATAAGTCCTCTCTACATGTATGCGACCACACATGCATTTAAACTGCTAGATACAGTGGGTTACAGTGGAATGGAGAGAGGGATTGATCACAGAAGCTTTACTTATCGAATTAACTGAAGATACGTGCAGTAAAAATGATTCAACACCTTTCTTGGATATCTGCAAAGTTCTACTACACCTACGACAAATAGGAAAGAATAAAGAAAACTATAAAACGGAAGTTTCAAAGTTGCGTTGTTATAATTGATATGATTATGAACAAATTAGTAAGGATTTACTACTAGGTTACTTAGGCACGTAGGAGAAATAATTACTGACAAGATCTTGATTTCACGGTGTTTACTGAAGTCCTAAGCCAGATATCATCAGAACTAGTGGTCTGTAATTGTACTTTAATCGTCGTCACAATACCCTTACAACCAAGTCAATTGTCTAAATTAAATCATTTCAAGTTTGTTGGGAACGCTGTCCTTGGTGCCATATGCCGTAAATTGAAAGAAGTTAGAGTTCCTTCCAAGTGAGTGAACGGTCGACAGGCTCTCTTGAACCAAAAGGTTCAAAGTTCCATCTTTAGCTGTAAGCTGATGGATGTACACTGCTGAACAGTTCAAAACGAGGACGAAACAACTGCTCAGTACTCCTTGATTTTCTAAATGGTTCTTTAACTAATGTAACTTCAAGATCTAACATGAAATCAATCAAATTCTTTGAAGTCAACACTCAGCAGTCAACTGCAATCATTATCCTTTTTACACGTTGTCTTACAGACAAATGCCACCTCAGAAAATCCCCCTCATAATTGTCATTTTTAACTAACAAAGAACTAAACTCACTACTAAAAGTTATTTTACCAGACTGCATTGTCGCAGTAACGCCGTCTTAACAAACATTTAGCCGTACTGCATCAACTTGTTACTAAACAACTCATTGAGAGATTCACTTTCCCCAAAAAGTAATATCAATATTATTTATATCTCTTAATAATAAAATTCCAAGTTGGATTAGGAAATGACACGAATTAGAAGACTGTTTAAGACCACAAAGGAAAACTCAGCGAGGCGTTTGGAGTAAACACAGGAGTCAGACAAGGGTGCTTATTATCACCAATGGTATTCCTAATTGTGGTGGACTGGATTATGCGTCAGACAGTGGGAAACGAGAAGACAGGGACATCCTGGACCGACGTGAAGAACCTAGAAGACCTGGATTTCGCGCGTGGATGATTTATGTTTGATGTCACACAAAATCGAAGACCTACAAGCGAAAACCGACAAACTGGTCGAAGAAGCAGCAAAGACAGGACTGACTCCAGGTGAACACAGACAAGACGGAGGTTATGAAAATAACCAACCATCGCCAACAACAACGACAGCAGCAGAAACATCCACCGCCAATCACTATCAACGGGAGGGATTTGGAAGAGGTTACTACATTCACTTGTCTAGGGAGCATTGTCTCAACCACAGAAGGAACGGACGAGCATGTCAAATCGAGAATCGGGAAGGCGAGAAACACATTCATCAACCTGAAACCAATCTGGAAATCTTCGTCACTCAGCCTGCATCAACAACAAAATTCGGATTTTCAATACAAACGTGAAGTCAGTTTTGCTATACGGATCAGAGACTTGGCGGGTCACAAAGAATGAATATTTCCAACAGCCTGTTGCAGACCTTTACCAACAGCTGTCTTCGTTCTATACTGAAGATCAGATGGCCGGAAAGGATCACCAAACAAGAAGCTGTGCGGACAAACAAAACAGGAACCAATCGCCCAACAAATATGCAGGAGAAAGTGGAGATGGATTGGACACTCGCTGAGGAGGCCGCTGGGTGACATCATGCATCAGGCCATGGCTCGAGTGTAACCCGAAAGGGAAGCGGCGAGTGGGACGTGCAAGGGTGACATGGAGGAGATCGTGTGAAGAGGAACTGAAACAGTATGGATTAACATGGATGCAAGTGAAAAGTACGGTGGAAGACAGAAGCAAGTGGAGGCGTGTAGTTGAAGCCCTATGTTCCACTAGGAACCCAAGGGAACAATAAATAATAATTAAGACCAGGGAGTACTGGACGACTGTTTCTTCCTTGTTCGAGACTCTTTAGAATTGTACACTAATTAAGGACTCATCCCTGGACTTTCATGTTACAAGTCCAGCTACCTGATTATTCAACCTTGAATTCTAAATTCTGGGGAATTTGCAACATGTAGCGCAACCACTAGCCAGTGTTATAGTCGGGAATTAGTGCTTACATTCTACTTCGTGGTGTACTTTACTAATCAGAGACATAGGTCTGAACACTTAAAATACTTTAGTACGAAGGGGAATTCCACTTTATTTAACATTATAGAGACTACTATTTAATTCAATTTGAACTTTCCCACTGACTGATTGGATCGAAGTACTCGGCCTTAGGTTGACATATC